AAAGAACCTTTACTACCGTGTCCTGTAACTCAGTTGAGTCCCTGATTTTAATCAAGGAGATTATGGGGCCAGAGAGGAAAGTGATTTGAGGATGTACAGTGTGCCTAAGGAGAGTCACCTGAAGAGTGAAGGTCTCTCAAGCTTTCACAGAAAGCAGCTTGGTCAAGCAATGGCCGTGACTCATCCAGATGGTTGACACTGACAGTGAATCTAAGAGATGCTATGTGTGGTTCCAAAGTAATGCTGAGGAGACTTAACTGACCTTGATAGATAGGAAAAGGGGATTAATATGCGTCTGCCTTAACTTGGTCTTAAATATCCAGCATAAACAAGATATGTAAATAAGCACCACCATAACAAAATGTTAGCTGTAAAGGGTTCAAATCACCGACAACTTTGGACAGTTGCCAGCTAGACTGGTAACTGACTACTGTTAGGGATTTTGGAACTATATTCTCTAAGCATAGCTTTTCCAGCTAATCGCCTGTCATTTACAAAGCAGAGAAGAGAGAGCGGTTGGGAGTAGCTGAAGTTGGAAAGTAATTACAAGTGCAGGACGAAGCCAGTCCGAGAACACTCGGCAGGTAAACAAGCCGTTGCAGCTTGTTAAGTGGTTGCTAGGTAGCGAGGCTGAAATTAATCAGCCTCTTGAGGGTATAAAATAAATGCTCTCCCGTTCTTGGGTAGTTTTCCTTCTCTGCTCAGGACAGAGGACCTCCACCTGATGCCAGCTTTTTGTTTCTTGTCTGTTTTTTCCTCATTCTTGCTGCCATTCCTTCCTGGGGTACAGCAAGAACCCAACAGATCCTGACACATCTATCCATTGAGGAGTCCAGAAATTCAAGTTTTACAGCCTTTCCTTACCTTTCAGAAAGAAAGGTTTCTCTTTACTATGTTTGTGGCATTCAGATGAAGATCATTTCCTGGTGGTTTTTATACACTGGGAGTGTGGATTCTCTCTGGGGAGCAATGCGGAAATCATATAAAGCTTTAATATTAGAAATAGCCTTTGACCCAGTAATTCCATTTTGAGGCATTTAAACTAAGAAAATAATTAAACAATGATAATTAAATATTTAATCATAAAAATATTAATCACAGCATTGTTATAATAACAGAAAATTGGAATGAATTTGTCTTACAAAGAGATTGGTTTGAATAACTGAATCAACTATCAATGGGCTATTAGGTAGTAATTGAAAATTAAGTTATAGAAGTCAGTGTATTTATATGTCAGCTATTCATAATTGTAAGGAATGACACGCAATGGGCTGGTGAAAAAGCAATGAGGCATACAGTTTAATACCTGGGTGCAAGCAGACAGAGGGCGATAAGGCCATCTGTAGAGAGCAAAGAGAAGGGGGCTTTTTAAAACAGGGTTTGAAAGAAAGCAAGGGACATTAGGCAAGATCTTGGTAAATGTCAGTGGTCAAAGTTCTCTGGATGTTTTGTGCCTCAGCGGGCAAAGTCCTTGTGGTGTCCATTGTGAATGTTTGGCTGCCTTCAAATGTCTAGGTGTTTTGGAAAATTCCATGCTCCATCTTATCCCTTATTCTTCTCTATCTTATCTCATGCTCCATCACATCTAGTGTTTGCTGAGGGCAGCCCCAATGCTGAGCTGGGAACAGTGCCTCAGGTAGGGTACTAGGAGAGTCATGTCTGAATTGAGCCTTACAATAATCTATTGTTAGCCTGGCATGGTGGTGCACGCCTGTAATCCCAGCATTTGGGAGGGTGAGGCAGGAGGGTCATTGTGAGTTCAAGACCAGCCTGGGCTACAAAGGGAGCTCACGGCCAGCCTGAACTGCATACTGAGACCCTGTCTCAAAAAAGACAAACACACACATACACACACACACACACACACACACACAAATCTAGTTGAACTTTTAAAAGCAAGCTATACTATAGTATGTACAGGATAATACTACTTTTATGTGTGATATATGCACAGAAGAAAATCTAGAAGATACCATTAATAATTATTAACAATGTATAATAGAATGATCTGATTTGCTTTATTTTCCATAAGGAACACACATTACTTTAGTAGTATTCTTTTAATAAGAAAGAAGTTTTAAAAAAAACTTGTAGTGAGTCTCCAAGCTCTCTATTGAATGCCACTCAGAGGTGTAAATATTTTTGGATCAAAAGAAAAAAAGTACCAATTATTACCAATTATCTATTGGCCAGACATGTGTCATATACCTAATCTCCTGTAGTCCTGCAAATATGCCTGTTGCCTACATTTTTATGAATGAGAAGTTGAATACCAGAGGAAATAAATTATCCTATCATTGAAGTCACACAGCTGGTGACAGATTCCATCCCACAGATCAACTTAATCATAAGCCCCACCCCTTTCCACGACGGCACACTCCAGTAGTTACCCGCCCCCCATGAGTACCCCCTCTCAGGCCACTACTATCACTGAGAAGAATGAAAACAAACCAGTGCCTGAGGTCATTGTCCTCTGAGAGAAGCCCACCAGAAGCCAGGGAGCCTTGATTAGCAGAAGGCACATCAAAGTTTTGGGAATATGCTGGTTTTTCCTGTAGTTAGTGGGTAATGATGTCAGGTGAGCATGGTGACCACTACACTCCGGAAACCCCTCTTGTAGTTCATGGATAATGATGTGCTTGTCTGAGGACTGACCCAACCAGATCCATGGTGAACAAGAACAAGAAACACCATGGGCTCACTGAGAGGAACCCTGGGCTGAAGAGCCTTGGGTTCAGTCCCTGGCTGGACATGTGGTCTGAGGCTAAGTGTCTAATTTCTCAGGACTTTGGTACATCATTTCCAGAAAGTGGGATTTGGCCTACTGACTTTCTAAGGTCCCTTCAATTCCTAATCATACAACTCTGTGATAAAATATTTATCAAACCACATTTAGGCAGGAAGGGGGACAGGGGGACACATTTCTAGTGTGTCAACATTTTTATTATCACCAAACTTCAGAAGATTTTCTTATTCTTATTTTTCAGATGAGGAAACTGGTTGTGAGAAATTTCAGGAACAATTTTTCAGTGTTTTGAGCAGCTTCTTGCCTGGAATGTCACAATCTCTCTCTTCATCCCCGGTCTTATTCTCTTTAAGAATCTGTGATGGATGTAACCTTTTCTTTCTTCATCCCAATCTTCTTTTTTTTTTTGGTTTTTCTCCGGTACCAGGAACCGCATCCCAATCTTCTTAACCCTCAATGTTCAGACCACATCCAGAACAAATCAGTCATCACTGAGATTCTACTGAGACACACAGTGCTGGAGCTGTGAACTCCATGGAAACCTGGGCTGTAGTCAGTTGTTGCTACGTTTAGGGAATAGGAAAGGACACAGGATTTGGGATGTCACAGTTCATGATGGTGGCATGGCACAAAGGGTGAGAAATTACTCAGAGTCAATGTGCAGTTCAAACTCCAAGAAGGCCCAGAAGGGCTGCCTTTAACCGAGACCTCTCAGTGTCAGAGAGTCTCATAAAGACAGCCCCAAACTGAAGCTTCTGTGTCTTCTTATTGATAGAACCAGGAAGCAAGGACAAAAGACAAAAAAGGACAAAGTCTGTGCAGGAAATTATGTAGAGGACAGAGGAAGGACATTAGAAGGTCGTGATGATCTGCTACATGGTTGACCTTAGGGCCAATCTAAGTGATAATTGAAGTAGGTGGAGGACAGAGCCAGAGCATTCATTCCTTAAAGCAAGGGGTTGTGATCTTTCTTGGACTTTCAGCTCTATGGGCTATTTTTTAAATCTCTAACCATGCAGTTTGGGGCATGTGGCTCCAAAAGTTCCCTTATCTCTGCATATCCATCTGATACATACTTCTGCCTAACAGCCCCACTTTGGAGCAATACAGTTGTCAAAAATAAAGATGTTTTCCTGCAAAACTCATTTATGGGTGTTATGGCTTATATCTATAGCCATCCCAAATAGGTGGGTTTTAGGGGCAACTGGATAATGGATGTGTGATACTGGCTTAGTATACTGATTGGTTTAGCATAGTTCTGGGTGTGCATAATTGATTTACTGAAGAGGGAAGACCCACCCTGGGTCAGCCATCCAATATGCTTGCAGCTTGGATGGAATAAAAAGGGAAAGAAGGGCTAGGGATTTAGCTCAGCAGCACAGCACCTGCCTGGAAGGGCAAGGTCATGAGTTCGATTCCTGGTACTGGAAAAAAAAAAAAGGGAAAGAAGAAGGAAGGCTCCCTCTTTCCTGCCTACCATGCCATGAGCTGTTTCTCCACTGTTGTTCCCCTGTGCCATGTTTCCCTGCCTTGGAACAGCTGACTGTAGGCTGAAACCTCTGCAAACTGTGAGCTAAAATAACTTCTCCTCTTTAAACTTGTGGTTGTTGGGTATTTTGTCCCAGCAAAGAGAAAGTAACTAAGACAGTGGAGATTAAGCGTAAACCCCTCACACTTAGCATGGTACCTGGCATGAGTAGGTACTCAATCAGTGCTTTCTTGGGCCAGCATGTACGCAGTACTGGTTATGGTGGAATTTGGTAATAAAGTGGCCCATTGGAAGTGAATCCCATGAGAACCAGCACGTCGTGTGAAGGAAGCCATCTGCCACGCAGCCACATCCCCAGGTTGGTTTATAAAGGGATTGGTTAGGTTACTTGGGAAATACCTTGTCTGTGCAGGTGAAGGGAGGTGCCTCAGAAACGCTGTACTTAATTAAAGTTCTGCTGAGACTGCCCCTCTAATTCAGGATTCAGGGTGTGTGCCTGCCCCTGGGATCCAGCTAACCCAGGGTTACATTGTTCATGGTGTTCTGAAATGATCATGCAATCTGTTTGCAGGATATAAAAGTGTGTTCAGTGAGAAAGAACTTGTCAACATTTGTTCAGCCCTGCTGGGAAGATACTAGGTGAGTCATCCCTAGTACAAATAATCCTTTGATTTACACTGAAGCATAACAGACAGCCTCTGGTTTCTTCAATTCTGCAGTAGTTCCTTGTGCAGAGGGTTAATGTGAGTCAGCTCCCAGGTATGAGTGACACTGGGTCCTCAGGAAACCCTGGGTGGGAGACCTGCAAAACTGAGGTCCAGCCTGAGGTGCTGCTTCCCTAAGGAGACTGGGTCTAAGAATCCATGACCTCTCTTTATAGACCAGCACAACTGTGAGTATGCTATACGGGTTGGAGATCCTCCTTGGCTCCTTCTTACCCTTTAGAATTTCTTTGCTGAAGTGCTGAGGGTAAATTGTGTGCCAAACACTTTGCACCGAAGTCTCATCTGAGCCTCACACCCATCCTGTGAAGACTATGGCCTTGGAGAAGGTGGAGAACTCATCCTTAGTCCCAGCCCCTAAATGCTGAGCTGGGATTTGAACCAAAGCTTATTCTGAACTTGGTCTGTGCTCTGAGCTGCACTAGGAAGAGATTCTTGGAGGAAATCTCACTTTCAATGCTATGAGACAGATTTTCCCTAAGAATATTTTTGAGCTGAGAACAATGCTCTAAACATTTGGAAACTGTTTCATACATTGCCTGAATATGCTCGATCAAAATAAGATAACTTCTAAATTTATTTACTTATTTATTTAATTTTTTTGGGTCTTTTTGAGACAGGGTCTCACTATGCAATTCAGGCTGGGCTTGAGCTCACTTTGTAGCCCTGGCTGATCTCGAACTCACAATGATCCTCCTGCCTCAGCCTCCTGAGTGCTGGGATTACAGGCATGCGCCACCACACCCGGCTCAAGAATTTCTAAATTTAAGTGTTTTAAGAGGAGTCAGATGCATATTACCAAGAGGTGGTCTGAAGCTACAGGGTGGGTTGGAAGCAATAAATACCATCTGCCTTACAGAGGGCACATCTGGAAGGACTGAAAGAACTTGGGAAGCAAAGTATGTAATTCACATTTCTTTCTCTTACTGCCTTGATCCCAGCCCACGCATATCCTTTCTGCCCTGCCCTTCCGGTACATTCTGGTCTCCTTCAAGCCCTAGGCTAAGTCTTAGCCCCCCTTGGAAGCCTTTCTTAAGCAAAACTTTCTCCATCTGTTGTTTTCCTAGTATCTGCTCTTTGATGGCAAGAATTGTGCCTCCTCCTCTGAACCGCATAGGTGGATGACAACCCTGCCTGTGAGACGTGGGGCAGGCTAGCTTTCTTCATCCACACAAGGGTGATAAGTTAGTTGGTTGTTCATTGATTTAAAGGAGAAAAGGAACAAAAAGTGTCCAGCCTAGGGCTGAGCACATACTGAGAAATCCCACTGTGTGACTTGTATAGAATGCTGGACCTTGTCAGTGTATGGAGCCTGTTTAGTGTTTGTGGAAGGAGAAAAGATAAAGGGAGAAAAGGCACAGAAGAAAAACAGCCACAGAGATCTTAATCAGAGCTGTCCCTTCTTGACTCCTGCTTAGTTTTCTAACTATACACCCTGCCCGCTCAGGTCTAAGTCCCCTGAGTGCATCTCCTGCTCTGCATCAAGCAAGCCTCACCTGTCTCACCCCTCCCTGGCATAAAACTAACACTTCTAAGTTGCTGCCAAAAGGTCCCCTCCTCACTCAAGGAGAATCCGCCATTTCTCTGAACCTGGCTCACTTGGGGGTGAATCAATGCAGGTGTGATCCCGTCCCTACCCCTGGACTGGGAAAAGACCATTGGCAGAGTCACATGGAAATCTGGGCTGTGTGAGAAAAGGCGAAGACCCCAGGGACAGCTGTGGTACTGAGAGCCAGTATTGTCCCTAGATGTGGTGGATCCTGGGTCACACACTTCCCCAGTGGTCAGTCTTCACTGCCTCCCTGGGATAGGAACGCTCCTGTGACCATGCTTTTACACAGGGTGACTGCACCAGATTCTTGAATGCCTTCAACGTGGCTAATCTAAATTGAGGCAGGCTATGGTGTGAAACAAAGAATGTAAACTGTCCCATCTGCTATTTTTTTTTTTTTTTTTTTTTTGGTTTTTCTCCGGTACCAGGAACCGAACTCACGACCTTACGCTTGCCAGGCAGGCGCTTTTGCCGCTGAGCTAAATCCCCAGCCCCTCCATCTGCTATTTTTTATATTAATCCCATTATTATAATAGTATTTGGGATAGGTTGGGTTAAAGGAAATATAGTTGAAGTTAGCTCTGTTTCTTTTAACTTTTAAGTGCAATCACTAGAAAATTTAGAATATGTGATTTGGATTGTGAATCTAGGGGATGGTGCTGAGTTTGACAACTACCCTCAATCAGAGAGCCAGGCTTGAAAAAAGCTGATGTCTTCAAAGCTTTGCTCTTTACTCCTCTGCTGAAACTATGCTTCTATGCTACTACTAAAATTGTCTCCAAATGTGATGGGAACCAAATGTGATGGGAACCAAACAGTTGTGTTCCTAGGTTTCTGGGGGAAGAGGAAACATGTGCCCCTCTTTCTACAAGTAGGTGTACACTCCTGGGAGAACCTTTGTTTTATGGCTAAGGAAACTTAATCTGATGGGAGCCCACCATATCTCAGGCCTTCTCACATGCAGTGGCAGAGTGGAATTTAAACCTAGGAATTTCTGACTCTAAAGATTGGCCTCTTTCCCTTGCAGCCACTTCCAAGCTCCCGTACTCTACAACCCAGAAGGAGACTGAGCTCAGGTTAAAACTAGGCTGACACCCAGCTCCTTGGGCGGTGATGAACATAGTCAATCTCTGTGGATCAGAGGAGCGTCATCTCCTGGAACTGGGATGATGGCAGGTGCAGAGAAAGGCGAGAACACCTTCACTTTAGGGTTGACAGGGCTCGTAGTGAGTGTGTGGCTCTAAACACTGCTTCACAATGAGGAAACTGGATTCCCAAAGGTTATAATGCTCTTCCTGGCTCACACAGGTAGGAGCTGACCTGGGAAGTCAGAGTTTACTCTAACTGGTTGACACAGTCCCCTTTTAACCTATTTCTTTGGGTCCTGACTGTCATTCCCTAGTGGGCTTCACCTCCGTGGATCTGGTACATTTCCTCAAAACCCAGACCCATCTGCGGGGAGAAGCTTAGTGAAGGCTGGTTCACTTGCTGGCTGGAGCCATGTCTTTGTAGTATCCCAGAATTTGAATAGCTAGTTTTTATACTGAAAAAAAAAAAAAAAGAAAAGAAAAGAAAAGAAAAACTAAAGCACATTTACCTTTACAAGGGTTTATTGGAGCATTCAGGAATTCATGAACTGGGGCTGTGCTAGGCCACAAAGGACTAATACTTCTCTAGGAATGGTGAGAGAAGAAACTTCTAGAAAGTATTCACAGAAGGAAGGCAGAGCAACAACTGGGATTGGTTAGAGTGGACAGTTCCCAGCCAGAGGCGTGTTAGTGGTTTCTGAATGCTGAAGTTTCTAGTCCTGATGCATTGTTTTCATTGGGCTTTGGCTTATTCCAGTAGGAATACCAGAGCCTTCCCAGGCTAATGGCCTCCCAACTTGACTTTTTTTTTTCTTCTAACAATTCTTATTTTTGGTTTTCATTTTCCTCACCTTGCTCCCATTTGAAAGTAATGCCTACAGCCCACCCTCAAAAGAACTGAGATCTTTAGACTTAGGGTTGTACATCAACCCTCAAAAAGTAATTATTTATTTCCAGAAATGAGTTAGGGCTTTATCTTATTAATATTCATATTGGCCCATGTTGTGCTGCTATAAGAGGACATTTATTTTTGACAGTTCTGGAAGCTGAGAAGTCCCCAGTGAAAGGGCTTGCCTCTGGTGAGGGCCTTTCCTCTTTCTGTCATCCTATGGCAGAGGCAGGAGGATGCAAGAGAACGCCAGAGTGGGCCGAACTCACCTTTATAACAAGTCCACTGTAGTGACAATGACACTAATCCAGTTGCGAAGGCAAGCTCTCAGGACCGAATGCTCTCTTGAAGGTCCCACCTCTCTGTACTGCTGCACTGGAGATTACATTTCTGACACATGACCTGGGAACATATTCAAACCGTATCCGTCTTAACCCTTGATTCCTAACGGGACACCTGCCCAAGGCCCAGTTCCTGGCTCTGTGGAATTGCTCAGAAAGGGTTTGCTGAATTACAGGTGGCTATCATGATTGCCTTCCTGAGCCACAAACAGAAGCTGAAAAAGAGGGCCCAGGGGCCCAACCAGCCCACCTGAGCATCATCTTTCTCCTAACAATGGTGTGAGGTTTTAGTCTTTAATGAATTCACCTTCATGCAGATCCATAGGAGAAAGGACAGCCCTGAAGTATGATGTGAGAACTTTTGATGGCTCATTAGCTCATGTTCCCCTCTTAAATACGGTCTTCGGCTTAACATATCCTACATGAGGCTAAATAGCGCAAAGTGCGTGGTGAATATCACCGTGTTTCTGGCCGGTGACTGAGAAATGAAGCCACCTTTCTGAGCTACTGAGGGTGGTGAACACAGGGGGTTGGCTGGGAACTCTGAACTCACGAGCCCCTCCCAGGATCTGTCACCCCACACTCCTGACTCAGATACCTGTGAGTCTCAATGAGGAGTCCAGCGGCAGGGAAGGAGGAAGAGGGTGATAGTCTCCCCGTATGCTGCTTCAGGCTGAGACCAGGATGCAAGCCGCAATCCAATCACAGTTTCTTAAGACCCTTGACTAAATGTTTGCTGTGATTTCTTGTGGAAAAAAAGTTTAGGAAACTTACATTGGTTTAACGTGCACACAGGAACATGGGATCGCTCAGGAGTCTAAAGTACAATATTGGCAAGTCCTGTGCAAAGCAGGGGAATCTGCATTTAGAAATCTCGGTGCTCAGTTGCGACAGTGTTTTAAACCCCGTTTGAAAGTAATGCCTACAGCTATTTGGGCTCTAAGTATAAAGTTGCTCAGCGGCCTTGCAGAGCCCCACAACATAGCCCGGTCCTGAAGCTCCACATACTGACTTAACCGTGCACCTGTTCCCACAGAATGCATCTCCTCTTGTCCCTGGGACTCTGTGCCCTGGCCCAGGCCACTTGCTGCGGGGCTCAGTCTCCACCCCAGCAGGCTCTCGGCTCCTCGCCTCTTCTCTCCCGCGGCTGCAGTGACTCAGATGTGCTGGCCGTCTCCGGGATGGCCCTGCAGGACATCAACAGAGACCAACAGGAGGGTTACGCGCTGGGGCTCAATCGAGTGCATGGCGTCTGGGAACACAGACAGGTAAGTGATGGCTCTGCCACTGGGGCAGGCGTTGGGACAGGCTGCAAAGACTGGGACCCCTGAGACTCCTGTTGGGAAGATGCTTTCCGCATGGGAAACCCTGCTGAGACCATTCTGCCCTCCTCTGGTAGGTGTGCTGCAGTGCTCTTGTTATTGGAAACAGATGCTATGGGGACACCTGCCCGAGGCTCAGCAGTTTATAAGGAGTCTTCAGATGCGTTGTATTCTTTGGCTTTCTTATGAAGCAGAGATGGTTTTGTCCAGTCTGCATGTGTCAAGTGGAATGTGGTGTGCTTCTCCACCCTCCCCGCCACAGGATAGCCAGGGATCTCTCTTCTACCTCACACTGGACGTCCTAGAGACCAGCTGCCATGTGCTCAGCAGGAAGGACTGGAAGGACTGCGGGGCAAGGCTGCTTCATGAATCAGTAAGTGCTTATTCTCAGGGGCTCTCTGGAAAGAAACTCCCTAGGAAACAGATGACTGCTCCATGCCTCCCATCTTTCAAATGTCCCTCTTTCTAATTTCCTGGCCGGGGTACCCAGGTGCTTATTTTAAGCTGTGGAGAAAACCAAGTTTAAGTAGAGGGGTTTCTGAGAAATCCCTTTGGGGTAATGCTGACCAGAAATGAAAAGTTGTCCTCACATTATTTTCTCACCTGTAATCTCTGAACCAGTTTTTACATTGAGAGAAAAGTACCTGAAGTAAAGATGCCAGGTATGGAATTAAGGTAGAGAGCAGAAACAGTGGAGGGAGAGCTTTTTAAATTTGTTTATTATGCTTTGTTTTCCTTTAATGAACACTTCTTTGAGGTTTAGGCTTTAAAAAAAGTGATGGCTTTACAGTATGGGGGCTCTCGGGATGCAATGGAAGGCTTTCCTACAATTACAGAACCTAACCGTTCTCAGAATTGATTTTTTCAAAGATAACCATTGAAGACACTTGCAAATGGTCACTGTTCCTTTGATTTCAATTATCCTGGGAGTGTTTCCGTCGAGTGATGTGAACCACACGTCGTGAGGGTAGGATAGTGATGTAAGTGTTTAGATATAAACTTGGCGATCAAGATGCCTTTTCTAATCATTTAACCAAGTTAGTCCACTGCACAGAAGTTTTGTTTTTTTGTTTTTGTTTTTGTTTTTTGTTTTTTTTTTTTTTTGGGTTTTTCTCCGGTACCGGGAACCGAACTCACGACCTTGCGCTTGCCAGGCAGGCGCTTTTGCCGCTGAGCTAAATCCCCAGCCCCCAACTGCACATAAGTTTTGAAAAACAAAGTCCACTTGCCTTGTTGTTTATTACATTTGTTATGGTGACGCTGACTACCGTGACACATACACTGGCAGGTGCGTACCCACTCTAACATGGTAGCAGCTTATTTCTCACTCACACGGAGTTCAAGACAGACATTCCTGCCTGGGAGGGGTTCACTCCAGGGTAATGTAAAGATCTGATTTCCTCCTACGCTGTGACTCACAGTTCCTACGGTCACAATTTGTTTACTCACTTGCGTTAAAGCTATGAAACAAAACCAGCATGGAGAATAGAAACTGGGCCAGGACGGGAGTGGTTACACGTCACTTCCTGTACTCACCTTCCTGGGGTTAAAGCTCAGTTATCCACACGTAATTGGGGGGAGATGGGAAGAGGAGCTCACCATGTCCCAGGCAAAGGTTAAACAGTTTAATCAACTGCAGTTTTTCCCACTCCAAGCCACAGAACTGGATTTTATGTTTCTCATTACTTAAAATCTAAGTCTGCAACTTGCACTGTGTAGGGAGGGGCATCTTAAAACCTCAGGATTCTATCCACCCTGTCATAAAATGTATTTGTTGGTTACAGGTTTATGGTCAATGCAAGGCAATGTTTTACGTGAACAAGCCAAAAAGAATTCTCTACTTACCTGCTTATAACTGTACTCTTCGCCCAGGTAAGAGACTGTGATGATTTTGTTAATTTTAATAAAAGATTTTTTTTAAAAGGTATTTAACCAGGGCTTTGCCAGGAAGGTGTAGGGTTTCTCATATCCTTACTTTGTATTCGTCCTGGCACCAGTTGCTTAATACTTCCAATACTTGCCTTCCTATTAAAAGCCAACTTACACTCACTTCTGTCACCCTCTTACTTCTACATTTATGTCCTGTACCAAATCCTGTTCTCAGGTCTATGTAAATGGCACATTCTCTACAATGGGTCCCCAGGCTGCTCTCTAGCTATCCTGATATTCCATCCAACCGTATGCCTATCATCTGAACATACACTCACTTTCTGAACTCTGTATCTTGCTTGTGTCTCTCCCTCCGCTGATGGTGACATCTGCCCTGGGAACTCATGCCTTTTCTTCAAGGAGTGCTACCAATATTACTTCTTCTACAGTGTTTTGTATTCAAGAAAGGAATGAAGCTCTCCTGTTATGCATTCCTATAAACTTAGGCTAAAACACTCACAGAGCACAGAGCACACACTCTCTGCCTTGATGTGGAGTCTTCTATCTTCTGTCACGTAGAATAGTTTATCCCTCCTTCTCCCTACCACACACTCGCTAGTTCCTACCAAGCTTACGTTTACCAAGACTGCTGGATAAATGAACGCACAGGCAAAGAATTAGGCTGAAAGTAATGACATTTGAAATATGCACATGCATTCGTTCTTGGTCCTCCTTTTAATGAGGGAGATTCTAGAAAGCAAACATCCATAATGTGAGCAAATAGGGTATGACTACTTATCAAACTACTATGTGAATGTGACTCCCCTTGTGGACCTTGTTAAAATGCAGTTTCTGATTGTGCTGTCTGGGCAGGGACAGAGATCCTGTGTCTCAGACATGCCCCGGGTGACAGCAATGCTGCTGGTTTCTATGAGTAACAAGGAACAGAACCAACACTGTATTAGCCACAGCTTACAGTCTGTAGTGTGAACACGAGACTTACCTAAAATGAATTAGGGAACAACAGCTAGTATGTAGTCTCAGTTCTTTCGTGGAGGTCATAGTGATCAGACTTAGAAGGGCCAGGAAGTGACGTGTGTTGATGAAGGAGTGACAAGCTGTGGGTGTAACTCCCTCATAATCTCCCTCAGTCCCCACATATACAATTAACCAACACAATGTATTTTCTCTGCAAAAACAACTTCAAGAAAAATTTCCTAACCCGACTGTCACATTAGACTTGCCCTCCTCCACTCCTCTCAAACAGAAATTGTGGTTGTCCTGGTCACGTGATCATTCTATCAAGTCACGCAGTGATTTGACCAATTTTGTCTTCCAGCTCACTTACATTTTCTAACCAAAGAGGGTGTGTGTGTGTGTCTATCTTCTGTTATGTCATTTGTTTATTCTGTAAGCATCTACTAAATGCTCACTTGGTGCTAGATATTATGTTAGGTGTTCAGGACTAAAAGATAAATAAAACAAGACCATGATGAAATCCTAACCTTTTCAAGGCACTCGGTTTATTTTAAGAGACAATGATAAAAAACGACATTGAACTAGTTCAAGTGGATATCTTATGTCAATATGCTGTATTATAGATCTTTTTCTGGTACCAGGAATCGAACTCAGGACCTTGCACTTACGAGGCAGGTGCTTGTGCCACTGAGCTATATCCCTGGCTAGACCTTTGAACGAAATTCCTAAAGTGCATAAATTTGTGAGTTGAAAACTCTCTTGCTTTGATTTTTTTTTTTTTTCTGGTACCAGGAATCGAACTTATGACATTGTGCTTGCCAGGCAGGCGCTGTGCTGCTGAGCTAAATCCCCAGCACCTGATTTATTTTTTAATTATGCAAATAATGCTGCTCATTGTAGAAACCATATTGCAACATCTAACTTCTTTTCTAGAAAATATTTTTTTCCATCCTTGCCAACAGTGAATGTTATCTTTTTTTTATCAAAATTTTTTTTATCAAAATTTTGCCTCTGTTATAGTCATATGCCTCTGTTACAGTCATATTTATGGGACTGAAAATCAATAATATTTTTAAACTGTTCTCATTGGTCTCAACAGTTTCTAGAAGAAAGATTCATATGATGTGCCCCGACTGTCCAAGTCCCAGCTCCACGGACTTGTCAGATCCCAGGGTTTTGGAAGCTGCCACGGAGTCTCTTGCAAAATACAACAGTAAAAGTGCCTCAAAGCAGTACTCTCTTGACAAAGTCACCAGGGCTTCTCACCAGGTAAGGGTAAGACGCAGGGGTCAGTTGCACAAACAATGTGTCTCATAACTGCTGCTGTGGATTCCTAAACTGAGAACCTGACAGCCGTTCTCTCCACACCCTGCTCTGGTAGACCTGATACATGTGCAGTCCTGTTTCGGTTTCTCTTGTTCCATGGAATTTTACAGGAGTCCTTTGACTCCATTTTCCTTCATAAACCTTAAAGCAAGAGAGAAACACATTTATCATTTCACTGGGAGATTCTGCTCATGTTCATCATGGACTGCTGTGTGCTCGTGTCTGACCAGCAATGGAGCATTTAGCAAGATAACTCTTACTCCAGGTTAAAGCCTGGGGTAGAGGATGAGTTACATAGATTAGGGGAAGTACAGATTCATTTGTATTTGGATTATGTTGATATGTCATATGAAAATAATCTAAAAGACAAATCTACATGTGGAAAAATAAGTTCAAGGGAAAATGTTTAGGGCCTATTCAAATTCATTCTTTCTTTTTCTTT